AGCAGGAATCACGCAGAAATGCAGGAGAAAATGGAGAAGGAGGCATCTTCAGCATCATCGCCGTGTCTTCTGAGCAAGCCACAAGCCATGGTGGAAGGCCAAACCGAGGAGGAGCAAGCTGAAAGCTCTTATGCATTAGTGGCTCTTGAGCACAAGTTGAATTGTTGGGGTTTCCACCCGTATTTTGGGTCGTATTGATAGAGCCTGCGCTGCAGGCAGGTCTGATGTCATTCTGCTCAAGTTCATCTCCCTGTTTCCACATTGGGCTAAAACCCTATAAAAGCTGGTCTTTCTCAGCAGGGAGGCATCAGAGGGAGAGGTTGTCTGTTCCCGGTCTGGAGCTCTCGTGGCTGCGGCGGGAGGGCAGGGTGATGGGCTCGCTGCGGGAGCCCTCCTCGTGGTGGGCAGCATCCCGGTGCCTGCCTTGCTGCCCCCCAACTGCCCCCACGGCCGGAGGGGCAGGGGTTAGTGTGGGGCACGCTGACCGTGCCGGTCTCGCTGCAGGCGGCTGGAGATGCTGCACGGAGCAGGACGGCTGGCAGCTGTGCCAACGTGTGCCACCGGGCTTCTCTGAGGCTCCAACGGGCTTTCCGTCCCCAGGTTTCGTCTGAGTTGTGTTCCCCGTGCAGCACGAGCAGGCTTGGGGCTTGGCACAGGGCTTGCGACCCAGCTCCGGGTTTTATAACGGGGCTTTTGGGGACCTGGGTGGTCAATTATTTTGTGATTTCAGCTATAAAGTATGTCCTACATTTCAGCAGCGTGATTTCCTGGGGTGACTCCCTGTCCAGACATACACGCGCCTCCTCATATATGGTATGAGCATAACCAACGGGCTGCTTCTTGCATTATAACGGTGATGTCATTAAAAAGTAACTTGTTTAATTAATTCAGTTTGTGATTTCAGTAACTCTCTCTATGCATTCTCTGAAATGACAATCGCAAAGTCTTGGCAGGATGTAAAAAAAGAAGGATGCTGTGACATTTCGTGCGTTTCAGACATAAGCTGCAACACAGCTTAATTAACAAACAGGGACAGTCACAGCCCGAATGCTGCATCACCTGCGAAGCCTTCCAAACCAAGGCAGATGTATTCCCCTCCATTGCTCTGCTCAGAAAGCTTGCGTTCAAAACCAAGAGCGAAAACTCAGTTAAAAACAACTGCAGGGGCAGCAGCTGTTTAAAGAGCAGCTCTGTTCCTGGCTGCTGATGGGTAACAGTTAATGAGTACTGGTAAAAGAAGCAAAATCAGCCATGACAGAACAGTGTAAAAAAGAGCGTTTTCAGGGCTGCAGAGCTGCACCTGCGAGAGCCAGAGCATAGAAGAGGGGAGGGTGACCCCTCAATCCTTCCTCCCCCAGCTCAGGCTTCAGCCCGGGAAGGCTCAGCCACGTGAGCTGAGGCTGGTCGCAGCTTTAATACTCTCAGCAGACGAAAACCGCGCTGCTCTGGCTGAATTCGCAGCCATCCGTGGGAGGAGGTATGTGAGGTCCAGAGACTGCAATCCACGGTCCCCAGCAAATGACTGACTACCAGAGTCCGGCGCTTACGTTAAGCCTAATCGGCCGTGCTGTGCCTTGTGAAATGCCTTCTCTGTTTTCCTCTAGGTTTCTGGAGGTGGAGCGGCCCAGGTTCAGCAAGGCTTCCCGCACCCTGGCCTTCGTGTACCCCTACCTCTTCGACAGCATCCCGCTCTTCTACAGGGTATGCCTCCCACGGCCATATTCGCAGCACTGAGACATTTGCTTCCTGCAGGGTTGGAAATATCAGCTGCTTCATCTTAGTCTGAAAATATTTGGGAAAATATGCCAGGCTTTTTTTTTTTTTTTTTTTTTAAAGGAAAACAAACTCTAGCAGGAAAAGAAATTTGGTTATTTTTTCCTGCACCTACTGACAGGCACATTCCTTCCACTTCAAAGAGTCGCGCTTAAACTTTGCTTGTGCTGGAAAGTTACTGCCTTTGAAAGCTGCAAATTTTCCAGTTCCTCAACTGGAGCGGGGTGGGAATTTTGCTGCAGTGAGGGCTAAGGACAGGAGGTGCGGGGCTGGGATTTGCATGAAACTGCAACAGCTCTTGCCTTGAGGCCCGGGTCCTGCACCGCGTGCTCTGGTGTTGAGTGATGGGCAGCCAAAGACGATGGGGGCTCGGGGACCGGCACTGCCTCCTGTAGAAACGTGTTGTTCTCCTCTTCCCTTTGCACGGTACCCCCTGCGTGGCCGCGTCTCTGCTGCCGCAGTTCTACCTGTGCGCGGCGGAGAGCTGCACGGAGGCTGCGATCCTGGTCCACTACAAGCACACCGTCTTTGCCTTCCTCACTTGCTTCATCTTCGCCAGCCATCTGCCAGAGAGACTTGCGCCAGGACACTTTGATTATATTGGTAAGTGCCAAAAGGGTGAGTTGGCATTGTTTTCTCATTCGTTTCAGGAAGAAAGCGCATTAACGCATGAGTGGCTCCCAGAGGTTGTAATATATTCCCTGCTGGAAATTCAAATGTAGTTTTACATACGAGATACAGCAATCCTGCCTAGGTAAAGTGGGAACATGCTGTTACCAAAATGTTTCACAGAGGGTTTCGTGACTGCAAAGCATCCATTTCTCATGCAAAAAAGCCTCACCTGTGGCACAGCGGTGCTTCAGAGGGCCATGGCAGGGCACTGCAGGAGCAGCCCCCAAGGAGGCTGGATGGCAGTCCCGGCCGCATCGGGGTCTTCCCCGTTCCCCCCGCCACGCCGTGCACAAGCACGGTGCTCCTCAGCACGTCGCGTGTGCCAGGACCGCAGCAGCGAGCTGCGCGTCCCTCATTTCCATGACAGCCAGCTCCATTTTGGAAAGGAAGGTCTCTGCGCTCTGGTGGCACAACGATAAAAGCCACAGAAATCAGTAGAATAAATACTTAAAGGCAACGGACGGTAGGCAGAAGGTCTGCTGAGCCCTCACGGCGGTGTTTTCATGAAGCCCAAGATGTTTCTCGCTGAGTGCTTTTGGCTTTGTTGCAGGGCACAGCCACCAAGTTTTCCACGTCTGTGGGATCATCGGCACGCACTTCCAGATGGAAGCCATCATGATGGACATGGCCGAGCGCCACGACCGGCTCCTGCCCACCTCCCTGCAGGCTCTCGGGTCGATGGGGATCTGCGTGGCCGTGAGCCTGGCCATCATCGGGCTCTGCTCCGTGTCCCTGCGCTTCATGCCGGAGCCTCCGCAGAGAGAAAAACCACACGGGCATTAGGCTTCGGGTCTAGATAGTATTTATGCTGCTCCACGGGAGAGACCCTAAACAATACGTGTACGGTATGGATGAGGAGTTGTTTATTCACCTACGCTCTCTGAGAAAATGTTTATTGACATTTTTCTCAAGAGCGAAATGTATTGCACTGGTTTTTGTACATATAGCTTTAAAAAGCTGGGACCAGATTATGAAATGCTTTTAATCAAGTTGCTATTTCACCACAAGAAATATTTACAATAATCTTAACTTTTTCTGTAAAAGGGAGATAAGTGCTAATACTTTCCAAAGCAATAGGCATTCATCAGGTCTGCCTTACGGAGGAATCGGGGAGGCAAGTGAACGTGGGTAACGCCGGTCGTCTGGTGACACAGATGTCCTTGTCATCAGTTTAGACCGATAGCCAAGACTCCGTGGTGAAGGCACGAGCCAGGGCTCTCCCAGGGGCTTCCTAACTGAGGTTTTCACCTTGAAAGTTGCATTATTTTGGAGATTAAAACCTCAAATATCTGTGTTCCACAGCCTTACACTAAACCCAAGTGCCTGACAGATGTGGGATTGAGAGACTAGAGTTTGCCTACGTTTTAAATTCAGCTATTTTTAATCATTACCTGGAAAGAGTTATTCTAGAAGAACTCTCCATGGGACATTCCTCCAGCACAGCTCTTTTTGGGGTCCAATTCCGGTGCATAGGTAAATCCTGGGAAATTAATTCCCACGGGAGAGCTGGGCTCCCGCCCGCAAGGCGATGCAATTGCCGGGTGGCTGACGCAGCCACAAGCCCCCAGCGCGGGGGGCACCGTCCCTCCCTCCTTGCACCAGACACCTCCGTCCTGTACCCACAGCTGGGCTCCTTCGCTGACCTCATTTGTGGCACCAAACATAACCGGAGGAAGAAATACCTGCACCCGGGAGGTGAGGACGTGGCCTTCCTTACAAGCACTGTTTTGTGCCGAGTGTTTAACACGCTGTTCAGAAAAGGTGTTTGACACCTTCTCGAGGGCGATGGCTGAGAAGTCAAGGACTGCCACGTCGAGGCATCCTCTCCCGGGTGTTTCTGGAGGCAGGATGCTGGGCAAGATGGACCCTTGGCCTGAGGGTGGGGTTGATGGTAGAGCCATCTCCTCCGAACCTCTCTAGTGCCTGGTCCCACTCGCATAGAAGAACGTTGTTCTTTTCCTGCGTGAATAGGATGAGGGTGTCTGGGGAGAATAAAACATCAGCTGAGCAAGAAGTGGGAGTCTGTACAGCATAGAGACGTGAGCGTTGTCGGATGAAAGGCAGGAGTTAGAACTGGTAACGCACAGGAGATCAAAACCTGTAATTTTAAAGCATTTCCAGAGTTAGACCTTTGCTCACCAGCAATAGCCCTGTGCTCCAGCTGTTGCTCCTTGCTTTCCTTTGCTGCTGCATCTGGATTTTACAAGCAGGAGCAGAGAGCCCTGGGGAGAGCCTGGAGGTCTCAGCCTGGTCCGGGCGAGGGGGAGGCAGAGCTCGGCTGGCAGCTCCAGCGACAGAGGTTGTCACGTTGGATTTACCTAACGCCGCGTGGGAGGTGCAGGGACATGTGATGCAGAGATTACTGCTAGGGAATATTATCAAGATTCTTGATAATCATACGGGTGTATAATTTGTTTTGTGTATAATTGCCTCTGTCGTAATTGATGCACTTTTGAGTGACAATACAATGACTCGTTAAATATATTATGGGACAAGTAAGTCTTTTGAAGAACAGCTTTCTTTTGAAAGCTGACCAAGATTTATATTAATATTTATAAGCACTGGAACATAATTGTTTATTCAACGGTTTTATTTCATTAAAAGAGAAAACTAATATAACTATCGCACTGATATATGCTAACCCGATTTGTACAGTTTCATAAAAATGCGGTCTGTGAAAATTAATCACTTCAGAGATAATTGCTAATAATTGCAAAGCTTATTTACCTTGTGTATGCATGTGACTGGAAAGGAGTCTGGCTCTGTGTGCAAGACATCATTTAAGAGTTTGTAAAACTCACCTGAATCATTACACGTTTTTTCTTGGTCGTTTAACTTTTGAATTTGGAAAGTCCTCTCATCCTCTTCAGGTGAAATTACTTGTAGGAAAACGACACTAAAAAGTATAACACTGTATTATACACTACCATAATCCCTCTGGATCCTGCAGCGCTTTGCATGGACCCTTTGTCTGGCACATAATTTACATGCTGAACGAGTGAATGTTGGATCTTGAAGCAGCACAGGTCAGCCAGATTTCTTCTTCAGTTGGAGATAAACCTTCAAAAATCTGTTCAATGTACTAAACTTTTTTCACATAAAGAAATAAAAACTCTCTGTCAAATTGTTATGAGTAAATAATACAGGATATTTATTTGTTGGAACATGTTGTTTCATTGTGTGTCAGTGCCAAATCCAGAGCAAATCCCAAACAAAACTATTAGCGTGATGACCAAATCCCAGAGAACATCTCTCATCTGCTCTTCGGCCAAGCAGATCATACTGCGCTGATGAACTGCGCAACTACAGCAGATTTTTAGGTCTATCGAGTTCCTTTGGGTTAAGGTTAAAAGGTGAATCTGATTATTCCTGAATAACACTTAATCCAAAAGATGCAAGTATATTATAGAACACACAATGTATACAGTTGTATAACGCACAAATGGACTTAAATGAGCTGGAAGGAGGGTATGAATGTGGTTGCAGCAGGAGTTAGGACTGCCTTCTGGAACATCACTCCCCGGGCGAGGCAGGCGTTGCGGTCGGGCTTGCTGTACCTTCAGTCTTGGGCAAGGCGTCTGGTGTGCAGACTGTTAGCTTGTTTATTAAACCACCTTTCCTCCGGCAATGATACTGGATTGTGCTCTCATCCATCCTGCGTGTTTCGTTTTCCAGGTGGATATCAGTATGCTGGGTTTAATTTATGAAGTCCTAAGTGGTCTGGGATCCATGAGAAGCAAGACACTGCAGTGGAAGCATGAGCAGACTTTTTTTGCTGTGAGAAGGGCAGCTTCAGGCACTGTTATCCATTAGTTCCCAGGGTTTTGGGAATTCAGGCTGGTTTTTAGGGTGGCAGCCCTGTCTTACCAGTTTTAGGGTGCAGGGCAAGGACGGTCATGGCTTGTGAGGTGCTCCACGACGGTGGGACTGCACACAGGGCTCTGGTTCTGCTCTAGGGGAGGTCAGCTCAGTTTTGACTGTTTGTCTCCTTGATGTGTGTTATGAGAACATTAATTTGTCTGTTTCAATGTATTTTAAAACACTGTTTAAGAAGTGAAGGGTGGCCCAGGACACTGGCTTCTGATAGCGGTGACAGTAAAAAATAAAAGACAGTTTGTTGGGATTTCTTTGGATTTTCTTTTTTTCTTTTCCTTTTTTCCCGCTTAACGGTGTAAGCTTACTTGGTTTAGTTAATTTGCACTAAAACTGAGGATTTACTGGAGTCTGTGGTTTAAGAGAGATTGAGTTCAACCCACCGGAGGCCTTCAGAGCTGCTACCCGGGGTTAAAACCCAGGTTAGTTCATCCTTTACCCCAGGTTCCCCATTTGAATTAGGAAGGTAGTTAGGTCTTTCAATGGACTTGTTTGACCGGGTTTTTTATGTGTGTCTTAACTTCACAATTTAAGCTCTGTTTCCCACCATTAAGCATTCCCTATGGGCTAGGAATTAACTAATGTACCTTCAGGCAGGTAGTGGCTTAGCCACAGGGAGGCCCTGGCACAGCAAACTTGCTGGATTACACCTCTCCTCCTGAGCCCCAACCTTTATTTGAACCAAGCAGATGAAACAGGCAAAT